CAACACAGCTTCCTTCCACTCACAACGCCCAAAAAACGAGGTCCGAGGTCTCAACAGGACCCTCAGAACAGAACCCACGCATCCACTTACACACTCACTAGTTGCTACTGTTTTCCATGCATCGTCTTATCTTTGTTTTTTTTTAATGCATTGATCATAAAAGCGATTCACTTTTAGCTTTCATCGATATGGATGTTTTGTAAATGTTCATGCCATTACATTAACTGCTAGCTCATGTCTTTAGCATTAAATATCTAGGTTCTTAGTTAAAAAGACCTTCACCCAAAAATGAAAATTTTTATTACTTACACACCATCATGTTGTTCTAAATTCAACTTTCTTTTTTAAGTGAATTAAATTTTAAAAATGTTATTTTTACATGCAATTAAAATGTAGGGTCTGAAGCTTTCGAACTTCAAAATGGAGACAAAACAAAAAAGGGATACGACTTGGCATATGTGGCTTATGTTCCATGACCCACAGTAGCAGAACAAACCAAAAAATCCATAGTCAAAAGTCTTTTCTTTAGTGTTCTATTGGAGAAAGAAAGTCTCACAGGTTTGGAATGATATGAGGGTGAATAAGTGATGACAGAAATGTCATTTTTGGATGAACTGTCAGTTTAACCTCTCTTTCTCACTGATTCTTCTCTTCCTTAATCATTCCTTTCTCCCCAAGCAAATATTCTGTTATAGTAAGACCGTTTGTGCAGTAAGTTGTAGGAACTGCTGTATTATATGCTATCCTGTAGTGTGACCATCCTCTTGTAACTCAGGCTGGGATGTACCATGACACTCATATGGAGGATGGAACCTCATCCAAGGAAAACAGAATGATCTACAGTGACTCGATGCCTCGCAGAGTGGGAAGCTTTTACAGAGGTACCCAAAAAATGTACTAGACATATTGTGAAATATTATTTCAAATAATTTCTATTTTAATACATTTTAAAATCGAATTTATTCCTGTGATGGCAAAACTGAATTTCCAAAGCAGCCATTACTCCAGTTTTCAGTGTCAAAATAAATAGCATTTATTTGAAATAGAAACCACTTGTAACATTATAAATGTCTTTACTGCCACTTTTGATATAATGAATGTGTCTTTCCTGAATAAAAGTATAATATTAAAAAAAGAATCCCCAAAAAGGCCCCAAACTTTTAAACGCTAGTGTATGTAAATACAGTATGTATTTATGTAATAATGTTTGACTTAAGCTTTGATATTCTAGCTTTTTTTTTTGTTCTGTCCTTTTGTGCAGTCCCCTCTCCTCGACCTGACAACTCGTTCCATGAGAGTGCCGGACAGAGTCGAGTGCCAGCGGTGGCGGCGGAAAGCACAGCCATGACAAACCACCCCAAACGTCAGACCAATTTTGACCCCTGGTGAGAGAACACGCTTGTTAAGGCCCCTTGATCTAGACAAATTATTCTGTGTGCATCTACTTTGGCTGTAAGATGATATGCTTTGTTAAGCTGGAAGTGACAACAGTAAATATATGGCTTCAAATGAAAAACTAGAAAATCAAGGTAAAAATAATTAGTGTCCTCGACAGTTTTGTATGAATAATAAAGCATGCCAACTTTACATTCTCTCTAAATTTTCTGGTGATAGACAGAAATATATTATAATTTTAGTTTAGCTTTTTTTTTTGGATTGATTAATTGATTTGCTTTCATTAGCCAGTTCACTGATAATATGTCTGTTTATGTTTAATGTAATAGGGTGAATCTTAATAAACGTTCTGTCATATTTCACTAACATACACTATATGGACTAAGTGTCGGGACACCTGACCATTACGCCAACAGGGACTTATCCAGTGACACTGCAATCTAAATACATAGACATTAATATGGAGTTGTTCCCCGCTTTGCTGCTATAATAAATTCTCACAAAATTTTGGAGTGTTTATGCGTGAATTTTTGCCCATTCGTTCAGTTGAGCATTTGTGATGTCAGACAATAATGTTGGACGAGAAGGCCTGGCTCGCAATCTCTGTTCTAGTTCATCCCAAAGGTGTTTGATGGGGTAGAGGTATAGATCTTATAATATGATCACAGATCATAGAATTGTCCATAATGTCCTGGTATGCTGAAGCGTTAAGATTTCCCTTCACTGGAAGTAAGGGGCTCAGACCAAACCCTGAAAAACAGCCCCATAACTGTATTCCTCGTCCACCAAATTTTACAGTTGGGACAATGCAGTCAGGCAGGTGATGTTAGGGCTGCAAAATGATTAATCGCATTCAAAATAAAAGTTCATGTTGACATATTATATGTGTGTGTACTGTGTACTGTGTATATTTATTATGTATATATAAAGACACACATATGTATATATTTAAAAAAATATTTGTATGTGTATATATATTTATATTTGTATATAATTTATATTATATATAAATATTTTGTATATAAATCTAACATGTTTTTCCTTAATATATACATGTATGTGTGTATTTATATATACATA